GATAATCCATAGAAAATGAATCCATCAATCAATGAAATACTGTTTAGCTACACAGGCATGTCTTTTAGATTTATTTACATTCTCTGGAATATGAATACATAGACAACTGATTATGTCACAAAGTGAGGGGGGTCATTTTATACATTGCGTGTAATATAAATTGATCCCCACTTTATATCACATTTCTTGTTTGTTGATAATCCATAGAAAATGAATCCATCAATCAATAAAATACTGTTTAGCTACAGGCATGTCTTTTAGATTTATTTACATTCTCTGGAATATAAATACATAGGAACTATTATGTCACAAAGTGAGGGGGTCATTTATACATGGCTTGTAATATAAATTGATCCCCCACTTTATATCCAATACTTGTTTGTTGATAATCCATAGAAAATGAATCCATCAATCAATGAAATACTGTTTAGCTACACAGGCATGTCTTTTAGATTTATTTACATTCTCTGGAATATAAATATATAGGAACTATTATGTCAAAAAGTCAGGGGTCCGTTTATATATTGCTTGTAATATGGAATTGATCTCTCACTTTTTTCTATATTACAATTTTTTGTTTGTTTATCAAATTCTGATTAAGTCTGAATCAACTTCTCCCCCATCTATAGGTTAATCAGTAAAACTTGTACCACTAAATCATTATTATTTAACAAAAAAAGAAAATAAAATTTTTCATAATCTAAAAATATTTTCTGGCTTTAAATAACCTGCAAAGGGTTGATAAGCTGTAGAAAAGGAATCAATCTAATATGTCTGCAGTCTTTTATAGCATTCAAAAAAGAAATGCTAAATGATAATTCCTTGTCTAAGAAGTTCTTTACTATTAGTTGCAAAAGCAAGAAGGACAAGATAAATTTTTTTTTTAAGCATTTCACCCCAAGCAAGATAGGAGTGCCACTAGCACGCAAGGGGTTACAGTGAGTGAAAGTAAGAGAAAAGAGGGGTGTTTGAGGAAAGAATGAAAACAAGGACAAAGTTCAGGATCAAGCCACCAGAAGATCTCGAGTGAGATTACATATAAATTTTTGAAGATTATAGTTATCAGGGAAGCAAGTAAGAGGAAGGGAGTTCCGCTGTTGAGAAGTGCAATAGAAGAATCTGTTGGAGTAGAAGAGGTGGTTACATTTAACTGTTTTGACAGTAAAATAGTTGCCATGAAAATATTTGTAGAAAAGACAGAGGGAAGCCACATCACATCTGTGAAAAAATGACTGGAGTCGAGATGCCTGGTCAGACCTATCACATTTCATATCTGTCTTTGGATTTTGTCAAGAATTGCGAGATGAACAGCTGGGGCTCCAGACCATATATGGCAACAGTATTCAATGTAAGGACGAATGGCAGATTTGAAGGATGCACTCAGACAAGAAAAACCTTCTCTGGCACGAAAAAGAGAACCGATTTGCCTTGTGGTAGAATACTCATGAAAAATTAATTATAATTCCCAATGATTTACAAAGGTGTAAAGGCAAGAAAACAAGATGAAAAAAAATACTATTCAAATTTACTAACAATTCTTCTTTTATAAGTCTGTACCTCTTCAGGCTCTCCACAACTTCCTATGCTGTCTATATACACAAACCCATAAGTAGTTTACTTTTTCCTTCTGTCCTATAATCATTAAATTTTTCAAGCTCTTGTTCCTCATAAGGTGTCCGAGAAATTTATAAAGAAATAGCTAATTGTTGTGGTAGGATCCACCTAATTTGCATAGTGGAGTATCGACCATATAAATATGGTTAGTACCGGGAAGAGAGGGAGGAATCAAGAGATTCAACCAGAGACTCTGCCCGACTGTGACTCAATCAACACATTCTCCAGGAACGGTCTTACCAGGAATATACAAAAGACTATATGTAAATATTGTGTACACTTTCTTGTTTCAATACATTTTGTTCTAAGTACATTTTGTGTTGCATTATTATTCCATGCATTAGTCAAGTTTCAACACTAATATTACCATTAACGATGTTAGTTTGTTCCCAACATTTTGTGTCAATACATTCTTCATTATCACCATTCTTTGTTGCTAGTTTTATCTTATTATTGTTGCTTTTTTGTCCCAACATTCTGAATCAATAGAGCATACAGTCAGTTTTAGACCCACTAGAGTGACAGGTTGTAATCGATTGCAAATGATCTAATCTGAGTAAAAAATTGTAGTGTTGTACAGTAATATGAATCTGTTTTCAGGGTGTATGATGAAATTTGTTTGGCCTTGAAAAATATTGCATCATCCGTGATTGCATCAGATTTTCATCATGCCCAGCCACTATTGTTTCAACTGCCGATTAGTTGTCCTATGGTGATTGTCTGCAATGGATGTTACTCGAAGGAAGCATACAAAAATTGTAATGCTGCATGAACACACTGGCAAGCCTTACCAGTGAATAAAACAAAGTTCTATAGACTGGCCCGAAAACTCTCCTGATTTAAATTCAATCGAGAATCTGTGCTCAGTCTTCAAGGAAAGACTTCATGGAATGGACATACGAAGTACTAACACGTGTACTGGGTCATGTTTCTTTGGAAAAATACAAAAAAAATAAATAATAACGGTATTATTCATTTTGTTTCAATTAATTTGCACAAGGGTGCATTCATTGCAAAATTACCTACAATACCTATTTATAGTAAAATTACCTACAATACATTTTTAAAGCAAAATGACCAACAATACATTTTATAGTAGAACTACCAACAATACATTTTGTAGCAAAATGACCAACAATACATTTTATTCGTAGTTGAAGGCATATAATTGTGTTCAAAATATATTTAGTTAAATCACAAGATTGTGTTAAAAATATTTAGATTTTAGCATTTAATAACCCATAGAGGTGTTGACATGTCGCTAAACAAAATCAACCAACCAATCCTGACTACTACAATTTTATCCTCTTAAAGTTTCAGGTTAACCTTTATCTCTCTTACATAATTTCATAAGTGGCCCTCCTTACCTCCTCCTCTTATGCCCATCCAATAATGTTATTCAGTTCCTCATCATAAGTGGCTCTTGAACCTTGTATTAGGTGAACATTAGTAAAAACAAAAACAAGGAAAGGTGACAAAGCAAAATCAGAAATTAAAAAGTAATATCCAAAAAAATTTAAACTGGTATCTTGCATCTGAGAAGCCCCTATTTCAAGAAGACATATTTAAAGAATATTAACTTGAGTTTTGGGATACAAAGAAGTGAAAGAAAGACTGTAATATAATCAGAGTAACAGTAAAGGGAATTGCATTTCTTTGACCCAAAGTGAATAAAAATAGTTGATAAGATCAAAGCTTCAATGCTTGCAATAAAAAAAAAAATGTACTATTTTCAAAGTGTGTTTTTGACGGGTTTCTGGTATGCAAAGTGTTGAAAAAAGAAAACCGTTCTTTCCTCTAAAAAAAGCTCTGTTAGACTTCAATTATTTCTCAGGATTCACTATTGCACAAGTGAAAAGTAGGGAATTAAAAAAAATTCAAAAAAATTAAAAACCAAGTTAAACAAGAAATTTGAAAAAAAAAATTTAATTGTTAAAAAAAGGCAAATAAAAAGTTTAAATTATTAAAAGAAAAAAGTAACTAAAATGGATTAAAAAAATTTAAAAAGGTAAAAAAAAAAAAAGGAAGAATTATTATTTTTTTTTTGTTGTTTAAATCTAAAAATTGATCGTCAATACATTTCTCACCAGTCTTCAGGGATGGAAGAAAGAATCTAATTTAAAAATTGATCACTTGTTAAATACACGCTGTGTTGTTCTCCTTGCAGACTCCTCAAGGCAACAAGTTAAAATAACCCCAAGTTCTTCTGACACAAATGATCATTGCTTTCCTTTTCTCCTTTAAATTTAACTTTTATTTGTATTAATTTTCTTTTCTAATAAGTAATTATCATCCAGAGAGAGCAGAGTGGCTCTGGGGTAAATGAACCAAGATGAAGGTTCCAAGGTTTGTCGTTCAATCTTTGCCTTGTTAATATCTTCATGTGTCTGTATCGGAAATCTAAACTGATTTAACTATTGGTCAAGTCATGCTGAATGAACATTACCAATCTAGTGTTGAGCTTGATTACTTAGGTGAACACCAGTGATTGTCAGCAGCTGATGGCCTTGTGTCAGATGAACCAAAGTTTAGTAAGTTAACATTTGAGCATTATTTACATTATTTGAACTATTGTCCTCATCTTTGTTGCCATATTTATTACAATGTTTCAGCTGTTTTACACTCTGGCCTTCTTCAGTTGGTTGGAATGTTGAACTTAACCCTTTATTTCACTCACTGGGGTAGACTGTTCTAGTTCACATGGCACTGTGGATAAAGGCATTAGTTAGATCCAGTGACAGGACCCAAAGAGTGTGAATTCAATACCTGGTTAAGGCAGCGGAGACCTTGGAGAGGGGAATTAACAGGAGATCACTGACATCCATTAAACATGGCACGTGGAACTAGAACATGTCTATCCCAGATCCAGTGACAGGACCCAAAGAGTGTGAGTTCAATACCTGGTTAAGGCAATGGAGACCTTGGAGAGGGGAATTAAAAGGAGATAACTGATAACTGACATGCATTTAAACATGGCACCTGGAACTAGAACAGTCTACCCCAGTGAGGGAAATAAAGGGTTCAGTTCAACATTCCAACCACCTGAAGAAGGCCGGAGTGTACAAAGGCTGAAACATTGTGATAAATATGGAAAGATGAGGACAATAGTCCAAATGATGTAAACAATGTCAATTTTTCTGTTTTGCCAAAATTATTTTCTTTTCCATTGTTACTTTCATTTTCATATTTTTTTTTTAATAACGAAAATTATATGTGAAGCCTTTTAGACATTTGGTATGTTTTCACTCAGGCTCGGTTCCTGCAAACTTCTGGGGATTTGGGCCAAGTTCAGTCTTTTCTTCTTCCTCTTTTTATTTGTAAAGAAAAAGGGGAGAGAGAGAGAAAAGAAAAGAAAAGAAAGAGAATCAGATTTTTTTATCCTCTTTTTATCTGTAAAGAAAAGAGTGTGAGAGAAAAGAAAAAGGAGAGAGAAGAGAAAAAAGGAAAAGCAGTGAGAGAAAGAAGAGAAAAAGAAAAAGGGGAGAGAGAGACGGAAGAGAAAAAGAAAAGGGGAGAGAGAGACGGAAGAGAAAAAGAAAAGGGGAGAGAGAAAGATGAGAAAAAGAAAAAGGGGAGAGAGAAAGATGAGAAAAAGAAAATGGGGAGAGAGAAAGATGAGAAAAAGAAAAAGGGGAGAGAGAAAGATGAGAAAAAGAAAAAAGGGGAGAGAGAGAAAAGAGAAAAAGAAAAAGTGGAGAGAGGGAAAAGAGAAAAAGAAAAAGTGGAGAGAGGGAAAAGAAAAAAGGGGAGAGAGAGAAAAGAGAAAAAGAAAAAAGGGAGAGAGAGAGAGGAAAAGAAAAAGTGGGAGAGAGAGAGTGAGAGAAGAAAAAAAAGGAGAGAAAAAGATAGAGGGAGAGAGAGAGAAGAGGAAAAAGAAAATCAATTTTTTCTTCATTTTATTTGAGGGTTTCCTTCTCTTAGGTTGAGAGAGAAGTACAGAAAGAGAAGTTTTAGAGGAAGAGAGAGAAAGAAAGAGATAAAGGTTTTAAATGAAAGTGCAAATGCTTTATTTTAATTTGAATTCTTTTTATTTCTTTGTTTACAAATTTTATTTTTGTATTTTTATTGGGAGATTAGGAGGGGGGTATTCATTACAGATACTCAGAAAAATATAACCAAAATTAGAATCTAACTTTAAAAAGAAGCCTCCTTTCATCACTGCCACCAAAATTCCTCATTTTTCTCAACAACCTTCTTCGCTACCTTATTAGGAGGGGGACCTTCACTCCTGACAGATCAGAATATTAACAAAGTTGGAAATTTCACTGTATCCCTTTAAAAGGGAATCTTAACTTTCTCAATTGTAAGTCTCATTTTCACAAACAGTTTCTCTTTTCTCCTTTATGTGATATGTTCCTTCAGGACGGAGGCAATCATGGCTCTCCACGATTTCCTTTCTTTTGTAGCTCTTAATAAATTTTGTCTTCTAAACCCTGTTCAGTCATCCATTTACTTAAGCTCAAAAAAGTATATTATGCGCTGTTTTTCTCTCTCTCCCATACCCTCAGTCTGTCTTGTGTGTATCAGATTTTCCAAGCCCTCTTTCCTCATTATGTGACTTAGAAATTTCAACTGTCTCTTCCTGATGTTAAGCATAAGTTTCCTTTTTCTTTCCATTTTCTCTAACATCTGCTTTATGTGCTATCTCCCATCAGGACATAGGCAGTCATGGCTCTCCACTATTTCTTATTCTTCGTAGTTCTTAGCAAATTTTGTCTTTTTGCTATTGCTCCTAAACCTTGTTCTGCCATCCATTTACGGAAGCTACCTAAGTATGTTGTGTGTTATTGTCCTCTGTCCCATTTGTCATCAATGCCCTGTGAGTATCAGATTTTCCAAGCCCTCCTTCCTCATTATTTGCTGCAGAAATTTCAACTGTCTCTTCCTGATGTTAAGCATAAGTTTCCTTTTTGTTACCATTTTCTCTAAGACCTTGTCACTGCTCATAGGTTCAGTCTATAGAATCCTCAGCATCCTTCTGTAGAAATTTCAACTGTCTTTACCTGATGTTAAGTATAAGTTTCCCTTTTGTTTCCATTTTCTATAAAATCCTTGTTGTTGCTCACTTGTTCAGTACATGGTATTCTCATCATCCTTCTGTAGACTCATGTCTCTTCATTTTTGAGATAGTTTTTCTTTCTATATGGGCTTATTGGGCAAAGATTGTTAAGGTCTCAATGTTGTAGTTTTTCTCTTGTAGTTTTCCTTACTTAGAAACCAAGCTAATTAAAAATCTGTGACTTCTTTTAAAGAATATTTAGAAAATATAGGTGTCCTGAGAAGATCCAAGCACTGGTACTGTCACTGTAAATATTTGCACATATTTTTTTTTTAATTTATTTATTTTTATCATTTTACCCTAAGCAAGGCAACGAAGCCACTAACACACAGGGGGATTATTGAGTGTGAAAAAATACAAGAAAACCATTATTCAGAAGTGGGAAAAATAAGACAGAACAGAAGATAATGGTGCATTTAAATTTTGAAAATCAAACTTGGAAAAGAAGGGGGCTAGAAGAGAGTTCCACAAGCGAGAAGTGTGAGAAAAGAAACTGTTAGCATAGAACTTATGGTTATATTTAGCCATTTCAAATGTCAAATGATGAGACCTAGCTGCCAATCTAGTACTGCACTTAAATTTATAAAGTCTAGTTACCAAAGAGGAAAGTTCATCAGAACAATTACTATGAAAATATTTACAAAAAATAGGTACAGGTAATGACAGACATTGCATTTAAATTTTCAGAGATCAAACTTGACTGAAAAGCAAGAAGCTGAAAAAAGAATTCCTTAAGTGAGAGAAGAAATTATTTGCATAAAATTTGATTTCCTTGTTTTAACTCGATAAAGTTGATTCAATCAGACATTACAAGAGTTAATTAATTTGTAATTTTGTACATTATTGGTTTTAGTCAATGCACTCATGGCTGAATGGGATCTCACCATTTGTTAGAGAGATGACTTCTTTATAATATAATTCATGAGAGACAATCCCAGCATTCAACACAGATGGGAAGTTTTTTTTTTAATCATAAAATCCACTAAGACATAAAGCGTTTGTACAAATAAATCACTAAATAAACTCCAACAATTATTACTAGACTATTTAGAAGTGTAAACAAATATAATTAATAATAAAAGAAAAATTAAAATTAATGAAATTATTTTAAAATGGATAATTCCATAGAAAAGAGTGTTGGATTGCAATGTGATAACCATCCTCATATGACAGTGAAAGCTGGACAACCTCTCCACAGATGAGGGGAAAACTCGAGGCAGTGGAAATGTGGTTCTATAGAAGGATATGGAGAATTCCATGGAAAAGAGTATTGGATTGCTATGTGATATCCACCTTCTTATGGAACACTGAATGCTGGACAATATCCTTACAAATGAAGACAAAACTGGAGGAAACAAAAATTTTGTTGTTCTTCTTCTTTAAAAAAAATAAAAATAAATTAAAATTTATAAACTGGAGATTACTTGGGATTAAGCATTCCAGATTACAAATCTTTTTTACATTTTAAGAAATCATATCATATGATTATCTTATATTAATACTATTTACATTATTCAGACTATTGTCCTCATCTTTGTCGCCATATTTATTACAATGTTTCGGTTGTTGTACACTCCGGCCTTCCTCAGAGCTGAACCCTTTATTTTGCGCACTGGGGTAGACTGTTCTCGTTCCACGTGCCATGTGTCCTCAAGGACACATGGCATAGTGGATAAAGGCATTAGTTAGATCCAGTGACAGGAATCAAAGAGTTTGAGTTCAATACCCTGTTAAGGCAGTGAACAACTTTCAGAGGGAAATTAACAGGAGATAACTGATAACTGACATCCATTAAACATGGCATGTGGAACTAGAACAGTCTACCCCAGTGAGCGAAATAAAGGGTTCAGTTTGACATTCCAACCACCTGAAGAAGGCCGAAGAGTACAACGGTCGAAACGTTATAATAAATATGGCGACAAAGATGAGGACAACAGTCCGAATAATGTAAATAGTGTACATAATACCTCATCTCAGAAATATAGACAGATATTATTACTATTGTTCATCCAGTACAAGGCCCAAGAGCCACTTAGGGTAGAGGGTAACTAAAATAAATTGTAAAGGTGTAAAAGTAAAACGAGTGTATTATGAAGAACTACTGACACTAAATTTGAAGAGGTTAAGATTATAGAGATCAGGGAAGTATCCTCTTGGGAGTCTATACTATAAAGTAGCAGTTCTTGAGATGAAGCTGTTTGAGAGGAACTTCTGTCTTACCAATAGAATATGATGGAAATGAGGATCATTTGAACCTGTCTATGTTAAATGGCAGGTGCTAGCTGTAAAGGTCTGAACTAGTGGATCTAAGGAATGTAGCTTATTTGAACATCTTTCATGGAAATAGAGGAGTCATAAGTTTGTGATATCTCATCTGTGGGGAAAAAAGATGTAGAGTTGAAAATAATTCATCACCCACAAGACTGTGTAAATGCTTTTGAAATCTGTCAAAGATGTAGAGTTGAAAATAATTCATCACCCACAAGACCGTCTAAAGGCTTTTGAACTCTGTCAAAGATGGAAGGTGAAAATTAGCCAACTCCAGCTCAGATGTGGCAGCAATAAGCCATTTTTAGTATGATCTGTGTCTTGTAAAAATAGAGCATATGTAACTTAATATTACACTCTAAAAGGAGGTGAAAATTCACATAGCTAAAGCCTGGACGACCTTGAATAAAATGGATGTAATCTGGAAATCTGATCTACCAGACAACCTCAAGCAGAGATGCTTTTGGTTTTAATGTATGGTGCCACTGCTTGGACATTAACTAAAACCCTGAAATCTAACCTTGATGTACCATACATCCAGATGGTGAGAGCTATACTTAACATCTCTTGGAGGCAACATCTAACTAAATCACAACTCTATGGACCTGATATTTCTACAATCTTACATGAATGCAGAATCTGCTTTTCAGGACATTGCTGGCAATCAAAACAAGAAATTGTGAGTGATCTACTGGTCTGGATATCTAACTATGGTGCCAGATGGGCTGGTCACCCAACAACCACCTACACTGACCAGCAGTGTTATGACACAGAATGTCACCCTAATGACCTTCTGACCTTGATGCAAGACCTAGATGTTTGGCATGATAGACTTATGAATGTCAGAGCTAGCTTAACTGAATGATAAAATAAAAAAAAATAATGAAATTAGGAGTCAGGTACTTGCCAAATCATTACAAGGAACTGACCATTTTTACAGCATCTTTAGCAAAAACTCAGAAAGATGAATTCCACTTGAGGTCTAGAATGTGCTTGAGTCCCATTAGACATTTAAAGCAAAGAGTCTCATTGAGATTGCAAACTGTTCACCATGAATAGAGAAAATTCAGAGTCTACTTATTGGGGATAGAATGTTACTTGTTTGGTTTTGGAGGTATTTAATGTTACAAGTCAGTTCCCTGCTTGAGCTGTTAGTAGATCAGAGGAGAGATCAGCTCTAAGGCCCTAATCATTGAGATTTTTGGTGATGCACCAATAAACCATAGTATCTATTGCATACATATTTACTATAGATTTGAAAATGTTCTTGGGGAAATAATTTGCATAATGCAAAAAGAAATTTGGGACTGTAGTGAGGGCCAGCATTGACTGAGTGGGCTTTAGGAGACTGGCCATTGACCGAGTGGGCTTCAGGAGACTGGCCATTGACCGAGTGGGCTTCAGGAGACTGGCCATTGACCGAGTGGGCTTCAGGAGACTGGCCATTAATGATAACATCATGGCCCTAACAGATAGGAAGAACTTAATAATTGCAAAAACTATATCAGAGATTCTATAGTTGGAAAGTTTATGTAGCAACCCCTTATGTTACACCTTGTTAAAAGCCTTGAGATATCTAAGGCAATCTCTCTTGTGATGAATTTATGATTGAGTGCGTTGTTCTGTATATCATAACTATTAGGACATCAACCTAGTGGACCTGGAGGAGTGAAATCTAGAGTGTTGCTAAGAAAATTGTTTCTGTTGAAGTGATCAACAACCTTCTTATTGGTAAGATTTAAGAAATTTGCTGATGTCACTAAGGAGGTTGATGGGGTAATATTAAGACAGGGAAGAAGCCCTCCTTTGTATTCTTGAATGCAGAACAAACCTGACACCTTTTCATAGATCTAGAAATCATTTCTGCTTTGGCAGTGTTTAAACAATTTTCCCAAGATTGGAAATAATTCTGAGTGAAAGGTTCTTAATCACTGCAAGTTTATCTGGATCATAAAGTTGAGGTTTTTGATTTGTCTGGAAATTTTCTGATCCAATATCAGGAAAACCCACTAAGTTTGTTCTCCATGACAAAGGTATGGATGACCTTTATTTTCTACCTTGGAATTGGAGGCAAAGTTCATTGCAAAGAACTTAGCCTTATCTGTGGGTTAACCAAAGCTGATTGTTTGGTTTCTGCTAGAATTCTTTCTTGGGTATAAAACTCTCCATTCCAGAAAGGATCCCTTTTGAGACGAGGGCAGCAGTTTTGGAGGCAGTATGCTTGAAGAAGGCACAGAGTGAAGCTTCCACCATGTAAGATCTGAAGTTATCCCAGTCTGCTTTTGTGTACCAGAAAATCATTCTACAGAATGGTCTATAAGAGGATACCTTTGGTTTGGAATCAACTTTGACACTGACTAGTGAATGTTCTGAAGTGCCCAGTGGTAGTGGTGATAGTGTGAGGGGACTTTAGCAAGGTATTTTCTGAGCAGGATGTGAGGAAGAGGTCAATAACCAACAAATACATCACTACAAAAATAGCCATTTTGTTTCAACACTTCTGGTGATGGTGTTGAACACTTGTTCAACACCATCACTTGATAAAACACTAGAAGTGTTGAAACAAAATGGCTATTTTTGTAGTGATTTTATAACATATTTATGTTATAATTTTCAGATAAATAAATATATATATATATATATATATATATATATATATATATATATATATATATATATATTGAATAGAGAAATAAAAGGTGAATGATATATAAAATACAAAGTTTTGAAGACCCAGATCTGCACGTCAAAAGCCAGATAAATCTATGAAGAGATTCAGCTGATTACTTCCTGCAACTGGTATTTGGATTTATGTCTGTAAAACTGTTGGAAGATAAATCATGGAACTTTTTATCAATTCACTGTTAAGGCTCTATTTTATAATATTGAGCTCTTTATTTACAAAATCTGCTCACCTTAAAGGTGTTATCTTTCAGTAATTTACTGGTTGATGAGTGTTTTTTTTTTTTTTTTTTTTTTTTAGGTAACTTTTTATTATTATTATTTTTTAATCATTTCACCCCAACCAAGATGATAATGCCACTAGGATGCAGGGAATTACAAAGAATGAAAGAGGATGAAAAGTCTTTAGTGAATAGAACGGTAAAGAAACAGGATTCAGGAAGACAGAAAATGGCGATTGATGTTGTATTAACAAATAAGGAAGGAATTCCACAGGAAAGAAGTACAAGAACAGAAACTATTAGAATACAGTTAAATCTAGCTAGTCCAAGAATAAAATGGTGAAACCTCATTACCAATCTAGTAGCAGACTTATCAAATGTATGAAGTTGGAGCATTAAGCAAAAAAGAACAGTTGCCATGAAAATATCTGTAGAAAAGACAAAGGGAAAACACAACATGTTGGTGAGAAAGTGACTGAAGTCAAGAATCCAGGTCAGGGTTGATTATATTACAGACGCTTCTTTGAATTTTGTCAAGAATCTTCAGATGTACAACAGGGGCAGTTTCTCTTGGGTATGACAATAAACTACATCCGACAAAAAGGACTCTCATCAGGAGGTTTTGAGGAGCATGGAACCACTTCTTAACTGCTGGTCTTAGCAGGTCCACCCCCACCCAGGGTGGTAGCACCTGTTAGGGTCCAAGCTATGGGGAAATAGTTATCACCAAAAGGGGTCAAAACACTATGAAAATTTAAAAATAGTTTTAATACCAGCAATAAATTTTTGAAAAAAAATACCAGCAATACATTTTTAAAGGGAAAAATTATTACCAGCAATGAATTTTTAAAGGGAAAAATTATTACCAGCAATACATTTTTAAAGGGAAAAATTATTACCAGCAATACATTTTGTAAAGGAAAAATTATTATCAGTAATATATTTTTTAAAGGGAAAAATTATTACCAGCAATGAATTTTAAAGGAAAAATTATTACCAGCAATACATTTGTAAAGGAAAAATTATTATCAGTAATATATTTTTAAAGGAAAATTATTACCAGCAATGAATTTTTAAAGGAAAATTATTACCAGCAATACATTTTTTAAAGGAAAAAATTATTACCAGCAATACATTTGTAAAGGGAAAAATTATTATCAGTAATATATTTAAAAAGGAAAAATTATTACCAGCAATGAATTTTTAAAGGGAAAAATTATTACCAGCAATACATTTGTAAAAATAAAAAATTATTATCAGTAATATATTTTTAAAGGGAAAAATTATTACCAGCAATGAATTTTTAAAGGGAAAAATTATTACCAGCAATACATTTGTAAAGGGAAAAATTATTATCAGTAATATATTTTTAAAGGGAAAAATTATTACCAGCAATACATTTTTAAAGGGAAAAATTATTACCAGCAATACATTTGTAAAGGAAAAAATTATTATCAGTAATATATTTTTAAAGGGAAAAATTATTACCAGCAATACATTTTTAAAGGGAAAAATTATTACCAGCAATACATTTTTAAAGGGAAAAATTATTACCAGCAATACATTTGTAAAGGGAAAAATTATTATCAGTAATATATTTTTAAAGGGAAAAATTATTACCAGCAATACATTTTTAAAGGGAAAAATTATTACCAGCAATACATTTTTAAAGGGAAAAATTATTACCAGCAATACATTTGTAAAGGGAAAAATTATTATCAGAAATACATTTGTAAAGGGAAAAATTATTATCAGTAATATATTTTTAAAGGGAAAAATTATTACCAGCAATACATTTTTAAAGGGAAAAATTATTACCAGCAATACATTTGTAAAGGGAAAAATTATTACCAGCAATGAATTTTTAAAGGGAAAAATTATTATCAGAAATACATTTGTAAAGGGAAAAATTATTATCAGCAATACATTTTTAAAGGGGAAAATTATTATCAGAAATACATTTATGAAAAAAAAATACCAGCAATAAAATTCTTGTTGGTATAATAATAACTCATTGAGATTGATATGCCATAAAACAAATCAAACCAAATCAAAGCAAGATCACCAGATCCAATATGTCAGCAATATTCAATGCACAGAGGAATGGTACATTTATAAATGTGCAAGACGAATTCTGACAAGAAAAATTTTCTGGGATGATACAGTGAACCAACTTTCCTAGCAGTAGATGCAGCTATTGATTCAATATAGTCACTCCACTTCATGTTAGTGGAAAATGTGAGCCCAAGAAGGCATAGTTTTGATCTCCTGGAGTTTAGCATCTCTCCTGGAGAGAGCAACATACAACACGAAAAAGTTCTGTGTTGATTAATTAAACGAAAGTAGTTTTGTTTTGAAGCTGTTCAAATTTACAAATATTAAAAATAGTGACCAACATAACAAAAATGGGGATATTGGTTAGATAATACTCAAGATTTATTATATTTGAAAAACCCATAGAATAATGACAACAGACGAGATAATTCTAGAAAGACGAGAGAGTATAAGAGCCAAAAGACAGAGGGCAAAAATGTAGTGATCAAAACAACTATGACAGGGATACTCATTGGAGGAAATCATGGAATAATGACATTAAAAAAAATAAAATCAGCAAATGATATTTAATTCTATTCCCATCTTTCTTATTCCATTCTACAAATATTTTCTTTGTATACAAAATACTCTTTTGAACTTTGACCTGGAGTTAACAGACAAGAGAATTTTTCAAATTCATTATTTATGGAATTATGAGAACTTTATCTGTTTTATTTATTGGTTTGTTTCAAATATTGAAAAAAAAAAAAAACTCCCTTCCTTCTGAGCATTTCTGTCTAAAAAAAAAAAAAATGTGAAAAATTTAAAAATGAAAAAAGAAATTGAAAAAAATTTAAAAAATTTAAAAAAATTTAAAAATTAAATAAAAAAAATAAATAAAAAATGAAAAGAAATGCAGAAAACATGGAAAAAATAAAAAAAATAAAAAAATGAGAAAAATCAAAATAAAGAAATGATGCCAGAATTTTGAGAGACAATATAAGAGTTGATATATAATTAGCAGAAGAAAAGTTAAATGAATTATTTTATTCTATCACAATGATGAAATAAAGTTTGCAATTTGTGCTGACAATGAAGCAAAGAAAAATGCTGAAAAAATGAAATGAATTCCATATTTATCAATTAAAAGAAAATTACATTTATGATCATCCCCCCCCCCCACTTTTTACCACCATGGTATCAATTTTGTTTTCAGGGTGGGGCAGAGCAACTTGCTTATTTAAATTTGGCGCACTAAAGCGATGGTTGCTCCAAGGATGGTAGGGATGGACTTATTTGAGAGGGTGGGGCTTAAAGTTTGGTTCTTAATGTGCGTTATTTATTTTTTGTTTATTTTTCAGGAACCCCAGTGAGCATCATGGAGTGGACGAAGTTGGAACAAGTTTTCGCTGTTGAGGCATTTTTTTCAAGCGCTCGCTCAATCGCCGCAATGCAACGTGCATTCTGTAGACATTTCAATATTGCACCCCGTGGTCGTGTTCCTGGCTGGCAGTCGATTGTTTCATGGGTAAACAACTTCAGGGAAACGGGTGATGTAAAGAAAAAAGAAACCTGGCCTCCCACGAACAGCAAGGTCACCCCAAAACATTGATTCAGTGTATAGAGAAGAATAGACGCCATCTTACTGATATCATCTTTAAACTGGTAAAAAATAAAATTTAAATGTTGAACTAGTTGCAGTTCAAAGAATTACATGTATACCTGCATTACTTGTGTTTTAATTGATATTCCAAATAAGCAAGTTGCTCTGCCCCACCCTGTACAAGTGATTTTTCAAGCCATATCTTTGAAGTAATTGCCACATGTTTTAAGAATTAATCTACTCTATAAAACTTCTCAGCCAAATATCAAAACCATCTGACATTTAATATAAAAGGCTTCAAAAAACACACCACTAACACCCTTCGGAATGGATATAGGAGCTGGCTATACATGTGTTACTGTCATCTAATGACCATGATTTCAATCCTTGGATCTGGTAGTGACACACCATTTCTGCAGGAACAATTTCACAGGGAAGAAAATATCACATTAATCAACAGATATCTCATATCAACCAATCAATGAACACCTGATGATGATGCCAGGATACTTGGTCAAAACAAGAATATTGACAATTACTTGTCACATAAATATGATTTAAATATCTTCTTTCCCTGTTCAAATTGTGACGCTGTTTAGTGGCATGTCAACATCCTTATGGCTCATTTAATGCCAAAATTTAATTTTCTTGGAGGCATTAGTAATTTCTTCTACAAAAATGTATTGCTAGTAATTTATTTTTTTTACTTTTTACAAAAAGCATTACTGGTAATCTTTTTTTACTATGAAAATATATAGCTGGTATCTTTACTATAAAAATGTATTTTTATACTTTCATAGTGTTTTGACACCAATTTGTGGATTAACTATTTACCCATAGTTGGGACCCTAATAGATGCTACCACTCCAGGTCAGGGTGGACCTTGGAACAGCAGCAATTAAGAAGTGGTTCCACACTACTCAAAACCTCTCAATCAAAAGCCTTGCTGCCAGATGTAATTTACTGTCATACCCAGGACTTTCATGATCAATGAAGCATTCATTTGGGAGTCTGTTTTACAAAGTAGTGCTTCAAAATTGTGAAAACTAAAATATATCTACAATTTCTCCTTAATGAATTGAAATGATATGTCTAGATTAAATGTTTATACAACTCTGCAGCCTTCTTCTGTGTGTCATGTCCCCTGAGGATGATGGCAATCATGGCTTGCCACAATTTCCTGTCCTTTGGAGCTCTTAATATATTTTGTCTTTTTGTTATTTCTAGTAAAGCTTGTCCCACCATCCATTTACTGAAACTTGTTAAGTAGGTTACGCATTGTTTTCCTCTGTTCATCTTACCTTCAGTCTGTATTGTGAGTATCAAATTTTCCAAGCCCTCTTTCCTCATTATCTTTTTCTTTCCAAATGTCCTTTAAAACAGTCATTACTCACATGTTCAGTCTATGGTATTCTCAGTATTTTTCTATAGAACAACATTTCTATTGCTTCAAGTTTCAGTTTTAATTTGAGAAAATTAAGGTAAGAAGTTATTTTGAATTTAAAAATAATTAAATTGTTTAGAAGTATATTTTGTTTGGAAGTGATTTGTTACTGACAATAATAATTTACATTTGTTGCTATGCCTCCTCTTCCACACCAAGAGGCATGAGGTGTTAATAAAACAAAACAAACCCAAAGCCCTACAGCCTTACAATGTTGATTTGTTTTTGTTTTTCCTTAAGGTTTATTAATCCTTTGAGGCTTATTTAAAGCCAACCTATTACAGAACTCCAGCCTTATGAATCAATATTTTTTTTTATATGGGGAAGGACATTCTATATGTACAAATAAGGGACTAGCATAATTCAAAACAATTTATCATACATTCCATTCTCTTAGGAATCTACTTTTGCTATCTTTACCATCTTGGGAAAACTAGGAATCATTATGTTCTTATCAAATGTCAGGAATTTCAAAAGACTTTTCTATTTACCTTAATATTTTCTCTATCTTATAATATTTTTTGAATGAGAAAATTGAGTGTAATATAGGGATATGGTTAGGGTTGTAAGTGCTCATATATATATATATATATATATATATTTCAATCTGCTTGTCTGAATTATCTTCAAGAAGTGAGAGAAATTTTTACATACACTTACCCAATGATGGATAAATTGTCATCTAAATTACGTAAAATGAAAATAACACTGACATTGCATTTTAACAGATACATTTACCAAAATTACACAAAAATATCTTGAAATAATAAAAAGTAAATCTATTCATTAAAATAGCCATCGGCTTTAACCATGGCCTCCAGACAACTTCAAAATCTTCTGCATCTCTTCTAGATGATCTCCTTGTTTAAGTTGATGAATCTTTGTCTCTAGTTCATCTTTGGTGTTAGGACTTTTGTTGGTCTCTAGTTCAACTGTTCCCCACACATAATAATCAAGGGGGTTGTACTCTGGGGAGTTAGGTGACCAGACCAGATGCGGTTGGAGAAATTGTCTGACAGCCATGACTGGGTTCTCCTGCTTGTGTGGCATGGTGTTGAGTTCTGTTGCCAGATATAAGGTCTTCCAGCAGTCACCCTATTGATCCCAGGTAGCACTATCTCCTCAAGGAACTTGGTGTAGACCCCCGTGTTGAGTCTGAGGCCCTGTGGGAAGATGAATGGAGGCATAACTTTGTCATCACTAGTGATCACTCCAAATACAATGATGCTGACTGGCCGTTCAATCATATACCCTGGTGAACCTACGATCGCTTTTGTTTGCAAGCGTCTATTGCAAAATATGCTTTCAACATTTTCAAATGTTATGCTTGCTGAGCAAATTTCTGAACGAGGATTGATTTCAGTTCAATTCTGATCAGTTTGGATTGTCGATGGCAAATATCTTTTTGGAGGCTTCCCTCATTGAATCATTCCTGAAAGCCTAAGCACTCCTTATATCATCCAACTATTTTCAAATCCACTGCATTGTTCTGAGATTGACACCCAAACAATCTGAAATGTTTGTTTTTGGAGCTTCTGGTGCCAATGCCAAGCAGTATAGCATGCAGTTTCCAAATTTCTGGCAGAGTGAATTTTGTCATGGTGCTCTTTTTCTCACGGATGGTGCACAACTGATCATACTATACTGTGCAGTCGACAAAATCAAAAACAAACAATATGCATGCATATATATATATATATATATATATATAATATCACTTGATAATAATAGGGATAATTCCAAGGAGGATATAAATCCAAAGAGAGCTCAATGTAAAAACAGAGCAAATATATTAATGAATACAGAATTGTTAAAAATATCCTAAAAAATATCACCTTTAAAAAAGGTGATTTTTTTTTTCTTTTTAACATAAAACTTTTCCTTGTTTCTCTTTTTTTCTCTCTCTTCTTTTTTTCATTTTTCTTTTCCTTGTGTCTGAATAAACTGAAGTCTGAAGAGATGGACTTCTGAGTCCACAAAATGAATATCACCTGAATAGATTTTTAAGGATTCTGTAGTCTCTCTCTCTCTATATATATATATATATATATATATATATATATATATGGGTTTGTAAACAGTGACTATTATGGCTAATAATGTAAGACTCTTCAGTAAATTGAATCATGTTCTCTCAGTCACTGTGTGTTTATCTAAAAATAAATACACTTAAATTCACCTTCATCCCTGCTGTGCACTAACGGCTTAGTGGTAGAATCCCCGACTGACACCAATTCATTCGGGTTTTGATCCTAGATAGAGGCAACCAGATGTCTAGCCACACTGATGAGCTGTGATACAGCAAAACAGTCTGTCTGTGGATGACAATATATATATATGTGGGGGAAGCAGAGAAATTTTGCGTAGGCAATGATGACCAATTGCTACAAACACTGTCACATGCTAAGAACTGCTCTTTGAAGAAAAAGCTTCAGGAGATATTTCTGGTAACATTTGTTAATACCTCAGAGCAAGACATAAAGACGACAACAAATGTCAACAAAACAAAGAAAAATGTTGTTCATGAGGAATAGATAAGTTACTGAATAAATCCTACAATTTGATATTAAACTTTATGAAGCTTAGTGTAGTAGTGGCTGGTCAGCGCTACCACTAATTAGCATATGTTTATGAGTAGACATTATGTATAGACCCCCACTAAGTGAGGTAGAGGTAATGATACTTGGTCTGTAACAGTAATTGTACTGTTACCAGTGGTATGACCAATGTCTTGTATAACTAACCAACAGAGGAATGAACTCTTTTGCCAGTATTATTAGCTCAAGTCCCATCCTCTCAGTCAGTAATTCTCCTTCAGGTTGAGGCTAGGTTTATTGCCTGGCACTTGAGGTGACCCCAGAATTTGAAAGTGCCAAGGTGGCTTGAAAATTTTCCCATGTTACTGCTGATAAACATTAAACCCATCCTTTGTGTTACATTTCATTGTGTCATGGGTGTACATCTAAATGTTATGGCACTTTTTAATTGAGTTCACCCCAAGCAAGGCAGTAACACCACAGAATGGCAAGGTTACTGGGTGTGGATTAAATTAGAAACAAAAACATTACTAATGAGCGAGAAGTAAAAGATTAATCAAAAGGATAGTACATAGCGACTGACATTGCATTTAAATTTATAGCGAAGAGCTCATCTGAATAATTACTATGAAAATATTTATAGAAAAGGCAAAAGACAGCAACCTTAGGGTGGTGGCAAAGTAACTAAAGTTGAGATGCCAGATTGAGGCCAATAATATTGCTGATACATTTTTTTGATTTTATCAAGGATCAGTAGCACTGGATCATATGTGGCAGCAATATTCTAAGCATGGATGAATGTTAGATTTATAGATATATAAATTGTCTAGCACAACACAGTGAACCCACCTTCCTGGCAGCAGCTGACCTAGCAATGGATTCAATATAGTCTTTCCACTTCATAACAGCTGAAAACATTAGGCCAAGAAGGTGCAGTGAGTCACTTTCCTGGAGGTCGGCATCAGCCATGTTGATGAAAAGCAGAGAGGGTTCTCTCAGATTAGAGCAGTTTAGGTTTGGCAGTGTTAAAATTAACAAGCCATCCTTTGCTCCAGTT